TTTCTCACATGATGATGGAGTGTCAGGTCACTCCATGAGTAATACAAATGTTATAAACTTCCGTTGTTTCTTCCCTGCTTATCAATGTATCGATCGTCCACACCTTTCATTTTCAAATATTCATATAATTCCAACAAAAGTTTTATTCACAGGGTCGCCGTTTCAAGGTAAGAACATCAGCGTAAGTAGCATGAGTATTACATATTCTGTATAGTATAGAAAGCATGAATGGTACATGTGTATGAATCCGCATGAGTTTCTTAGTGGATGTGTAAAGTACGAGTATATACAGTATAACTAAGATGATCAGTGAGTTGTTAAAGAGAATGCGCATGAGAAAATGTAGACTGCATTGTAGTTTGCACCTCAGCACCTTCTTCATGGTTGGTTTTCCTTGTCCTTACCAGCGTCCCGTTTCTTTCTGTATTCTGACCGCTGGAAATAATTGTTTAGTTTGACAGCTAACATTGGCAGCGAAATCGTATGTGATTCCTACCGTGTATAACTTGGTCTTCGTGAGCTTGGGCTTTGCTCCCTGTCTCGAAAGGTCAGGCTGGACTACGATTTGCGATTTTTGAGAGTCAGGACCAATTCGAATCTTAGATGCTTTATCGATGAGCTCATGAATTTCGGTTAACTTTGCCATGGCTTCTTCTGTGTCGACGTTAACGAGAGCGTTAACGTTAGTAGCAACCAACGAGTAAGACTAAAGCACTCGCATTTGAATTATACAAAATCTCACTTCTAATGACTCACCAGCTGGATGTCGTTTCTAAGTGATTTTCTTTTGTCCAAACGCTCTTGGGAAGCGACTATAGGATCTTCTACAGCGGGCAAAAGGTGATGTTCACTTTCGTATGCAACTGGTGATGAGGATGGTCCAGCTTCATCCGGATCTTGGGCAAGTGAAAGATGCAGATCTCCTGTTCTCGGCTAATCTCACTGCATGTCTATGGGCGCAAGCTATGCCTGTTCTAATTGTCCAAACACGTACACGTCATTGAATAGGGACATACACCGCAAAGTGTGCAGTGAACGTTGCCTGTCGGACTTGGATTGCAGCTGCACTGGCCTTCATCCTCAACAATATATGATACATCCGGTGTCCTTCCTTGAACCTTCCATTTTCCGTTCCTATCCATTCGATTTTATCTGTTCCAGCACCGTAATGGGTCATAACGGAGCAATGTCGTACTATTGTCTGCTGCGTCCTGAAGGACGCTGTGGCTAATCGACGTCTATCCTAAAACAACACATGAGCGGATCAGAGTAGACCAAACTTTTTGAGGTCTACCTTTATATCATTCGAATCTGCCAAATCCTCTACCGCTCTGATGAGCAGCTCCACTAGGCAGTCCACTCGAGAATTTGCGTTTCTGTGAAGCACTTGATATTTTAAACGCAAATGCCAGCGTTCAGCCAGCATTGAAGTATCCATAACAGCCCCACGATTATTAAATGAGGCCCAGCTTGTTGTTCTTCCTCAAAAAAATAGGAGCTTATAATTATACGAATTCATTGCGATTAATTAGCTTGCCTAAATAATTTGTCCTTAAATACTGCGCCATTTCTTGCTGGTCTTCACTGTCAAGAAGTGCCAAAATCTCTCCAAACTTCAACATAAAAGGTTCTAGCTGGCCAATCTTCAGCAAATCGTTGAGCTCCTTCAACACGCGACTCCGGAGTGGACCCTGATAAAATTTCATGCAACCCTGCAATCTTATGACAAAAAAAATGATTCTCACCTGCACCAGCTCCCTGGCCTTTCTCTCCCAAGTCTTACTTATATGCCAGCGACAGAAGCGCGGCGCCGCCTTCGACCTGGGGAATATGGATTGAAACCCTTTGATGAAGCACGGCGCTTCATCCGTGACAATCTGACTTGGATTGAAGTTCGGCATCAAGTTTCTAACTTCCTTGAATAATTTCTCCACATCAGAAGTGGTCATGGTACCACTAAGGAGAAATGCTAAATTTTCGAAATCATTTGTTTGCTATGTATAGATTTGTATCGACTCACCGGCTGGAAGCCCTCTGTCACGTTCATCTGCCACCATAACAGTGGCTAACTTCAAATTGTACCTTGTGGCACCATGCGTGTCGTCCACAGATATGCCGCGGCTGGAGAACTTTTTAAGCCAATCCAGTTGGGTCGGCGTAATGATTACTAAGAAAATGTGAAGGTTTCCTATGAATAATTGCTTTTTCAAAGTCAATTCTCACCCAAAGTAAATCCTTTGCCAGTTGGATCTTCCGTCATTTCTAGGAGCCTTATCCCATCATCAGGATTGTTTTCATCAGCGCGTAGTTGTAGAGATACCAGATCGTTATTATCGCGGAAATCCTGGTCTCATGCCATACTTCTCAATTATGTTCCAAAGGTCTCCTCTGGTGACAAAGTGGAGTCT